TTGGGATTTGCAAAGGAGGTGGTTGAGTTTATAGAAACTTACTTATCAGAGTACAATATGTATCACGTAACTTGGGATACCGTGCTGATGTCAAACAAAAATTTATTGATCTCAAGATCTTGAACATTCCGTCAAGGTACAGTCGTATTCAATAAAAAAGCGTACAAGTATTAAAAAGAGGATTTCTGGATCCTAGTTCTAGTTGTGTAAAACTGGCTCAGCCAATGCTTTGTGTTTTTGAAAACCTACCAGTGGCGCACACAAGGGGAGGGCACTGGGGCACGTGCCCCCCCCCCCAAAGAACTGCCCGCGAATACACACAACCAATGCCAAAGCGGAACCTACCAATTTTTCGGTATTCCTATCAACATGAAGATCAGCGTATACCGAAAATTATTCAGTAATTTACCAAATTATAGTAAAATACTTTCGGTTTCTAAGATTTTTTTTCACAATTGAGATTAGAAAAAAAATCCGCAAAGCGTGATATATTTTTATATTACTCAAAATATTTTCAACATTGCAAGTATCAACAGCTACAGCAGAAAGAACATTTTCGACTTTACGAAGGCTTAAATCATATTTAAGAAATACTATGGGAGAAAATAGGCTGAATGGCCTTGCCAATTTGAATATCCATAGAGAGGTACATGTAGATACGAATGAGGTATTGAATATTTTGACAGAGAGAGGACCTAGGAGGCTGGATTTTGTTTTGTAAATTCCCGTTTTATTACCTACCTAGTTTGTATAGTTGAAAAATGAAAAATGTTCGTTAAATTTTCGACAGTTTGCTTATTTACCCCTTTTTCATTAGGGTCAAAATGCAAGTCTTTTAGACACATTGTGCCCCTCCCAGGCCTGAGTCCTGGGTGCGCCAATGAAACCTACGACAACTTTTCTGTCATCATTTGGTAAGCAATCATTCCCAATAGCCCATTTCTGCAGAATAGGAAGACGTTAATTTCTCTCTTCAATATACTTGTACGCTTTTTTTTAATGCGACTGTAAAGCTTCTAGAGCTTTGATGAACTCCTTAGCAGAATCGAGATGTAATGTACTTTTTCTACTCACATAACTAAAATGGCATTTAGCGTACGGATATGTACCACGCTAAATGATCGATTAATCACGAATTGACGATCTGTGATTTATTCAAAATATTAAACACGTTACCATGGCAACACGATTTCTTAAACACATTACCATGGCCACACAGTTCATTAAACACAGCTTCAGTAATTTGAGACATTTCTGGCCTGTCAATTATTTTAACTGACAACTGTTATTTTTTAATTTTGTATCAGAATTATTCGAACAATATTCGTTTGTATCAGAATTCTTCATTAAAAATAATATATGTGAAATGTAGACGAAATTGAAATTGAAGACAATGTTCTGGTACTTACATATTATCTCCAAGAAGTGTAAAAATGAAGCATCAATCTTTGAGAACAATTTATTTATTATGCGCTAAGCATGATAATAAACGTGAAACAAAGGTTAGTAAGCAATGGATTAGACACATCTACAACCAATATCACTTATACGTGTTTCGCTGGTTGCATGTATTATGTTCTCAATTCCCATTCCTTTCGAATTATTTTGTAGGTTAGCAGGAATAGCAGGTATGTTGATGAAATTTTGGGAGTTCGTAGAAATAGCATAGTATGTAACGCGTGTATAAACTCTTCTAGACATTCGTTTATCAAACACTCGCTCCGCTCTGCTGCGCTCGTGCTTGAAATACTCGTTACTAAAAGGACGTTTATAACACTTGTTACATAATATACTATTTTGGAATGCTATAGGACATTGCAATTTTTAAATAGTTATTTGTTGTTATTGTGTGACACCTAGTTTTTATCTATTTTATCTATTTTATAAGTATATTTCTATATCTGTACTTGTGTTGTTGACCTGTGTAAAACTAAACGTTAATTAACACCAAATAAAATATTCTATTCTATTCATACAATGCTTTCAAATCGGCGTTGTCTGGTGTACCAAAAGTTTCGAATCTTGGCACATTATTGTTTTTTATTTATGGGGCCAAGCCAAAGATAAGAATCTCACTGAGCTTAGGAAATATGCGACGGTGTTTCAGGCAACAATTGTAGCAATACATCAGCATAAAATAATTGAGAAGCCAAGAGTTTACAGAGAAAACCATTGCAATCTACTCGAATAGCAAGAAGGCAATCAAAGCAGTCACTCAACTCAATGCAAGTTAACTCAAAACTAGTCTGGCACTGCTTAGAAACCCTGAATTGACTTTAGCATGGGTACCACCACGTACAGAGTATCAGGGCAACAAGGAGGCAGATTCACTATCTCGAGCAGGAGCAAGTAAAGTTCTGAATGGTTCAGGACCCTTTTGCGGTATTGCGAAAGCTATACAAAAGACAAGCATCAAATCATGGATACAAACCAAATCTCAAGAATGGTGGAACAGTTCGCCAGGAATGAGACAGGCAAAGACGAGGGCAAAGAAGTTTATTGAAAAACCATCGCCAATATTTACAGAATACCTATCTACTGAGCCAGTCTTCTGACAGAGCATTGTAGGCTCAACAAACACATCAACATCATACATATGAGTATGATAACTACGGGCTGAATAACTACTACGCAAGTTCTATTAGGAAGAGGGGAAAACAGCAATACACATACTCTGCCACTGTCAGGGCTTGTTAAGAATAAGGTTCCTTACGGTGGGCATCAATCTATGCGCTGGTAGAGAAAAACCGAAAGCCGGGTGGTATATAGGGGATCTAAAGGCTGGCCTATGGACTTTCATAGAGAAGACGGGGCTAGTCTACGAACCCTAAACGATTTTGAGGGCAGACACAAATCTGGAAAGGTTGCGGGGTTCAGGCAGATAACCCTAAAGCCCCATTCTATTATATGCTGATGATTTTAAATCATTCTCATTGATCATGAACAACCACGATTGCCACAACCTTCAAAATCAACTGAATCGGGTACATTCATAGTGTTACACTAATCATCTATGTCTGAATATCAATGTTGTGTTTGTATATTAAAAAGCCAATCAAGAGTCATATTATGTATTTCCATTATTAGAACAGTCACTACGCCACATATCTCTGTCAGCAGTGTTGCCAGATATTACAATCAATAAGTATAAAGTTGTAAGTTATATGAGTAAATGAGTTATTTAGTTTCCATATGAAATTAATGGGTCTAGATTGCAATGGCTAGATACATTCAAAGACTCGGGAGTGATTCTTGATCAGAAACTTACCTTCACTGAATACATACATTCGATAGTATCCGAAGCACTAAGGTCTTATGGATTCGTTGTTGGGAACGCCAGAGGTTTGACCAATTTAAAAGCTATTGACCTGCTGAACTTTTTATACCTATGTACGATCTCGAAGTCTAGATGCGGAGAGAATAGATGTAAAGGGAGACATCACGGTGAAGGAGAAATTCCCAACTACGTCGAGAGGTTTGAAATCCATCAAATGAGAAGAATAGTGTGCTATTGAGAATCGCTTCCGTGATGTTGCGCGGACCTGCAGGTGAGATCAAGGCGTATACGCTCTATTTGCTTCTAGTAGACCAACGAAATTACTCACTATGAAGATCAATCCCAAATGGTTTCTGTAGACGTCGCTGCTGATGAAGCTACTCCAGTGTTTTTCAATATGAACCAAGTAAGAACGGTTGGCCTGCCTTCGAGTTCTTGGTTTCCTGAAAAAAAAAAAAAAAAAAAAAAAAAAAAATGGTTATTCCAGAAGAGAACGCAGTATGGAGAGTACTATCGTCTGTCGAGTTGTGGATAGGACAAGTGGTTGCTCCCAATAGATCGTTGACTTGAAGTAGAAACAATGTTGGTGCCAAAATTGTGGAACGCCGGAGGTATATGTCTCCTAAATATCAAGCAATAACGAAAATTTGATTCTGTCAACTCGTTTTCGAGATATTCAATGCTGAAGTTGGAAAATCGTTCAATGTTTATTTATTTAATGAAGACAAGATCTGGTAGGTGGAAACCATAGTGTCTCGTTCTTGCTGACAATTTCTTGCTGACAATTTGGGCAACTTTATTCATCCTGGATCTCTTGTAATTATTCTTCGTAAAATTTGTATGTCGCTAAGTTGAGAACCAACTCCCTATAAGTCGAAACTTGGGTGGGGTTAGGAACAGCTTATAGAGGAGTCCGAAACATTTCTAGGACTCAGAGGTGCTGCTTAGTTATTAGATCTAGTTCTCTGAATAGTACTGGTAGAATTTTCCACTTATGTAAATCCTGGAGTGGATATAGAGGAGTTCTCCCCATGTCACATCATAGAGGCGCCCCCACCATGTCACGATAATAGTTGTTTTCACTATGTCACAACACAGAGGTAGGACTCCCACTATGTCACGACATGGGGATGGTATTTCACCCATATCGATTTATAAGGGGTTGCTTGGCTCAATGGTTTGCAGGAGGTAGTATTTGAATAGGGACTAATAGTTTAGGGGTAGCTGAAAGTACGAGAGTATACTGAAACATAATACTATTTATTAAAGCATGGAACATTATGGGTAGTGATGAAATATAAATAAAAAACAATGAATATGAAGACCTAATAACAACTTACATTATAATGGCCATTACGACAAGTTCTTGTCGTCAAGAGTAGCCCCAGACCAGACTAACTTCGGAACCCTCACATCCAATATTTATATACATCATTTTATTAGACTTCTCATGAGAGTTCCTTGGTCAGTTTCATAGTTCAATGTCAACGGGTGATTTGATTAACTTAATGTTTAGAACACCCTCATGGGTTTAAAATTACTGATATACCGAGTGTTCTACTCGTGACAAAATCCACTATAAGCTACAGGTCCCGCTTTTCCTAACATCGCACAAGTTTCTCCATCTGGGGAGTTGATTTCCAATTTCGAAGTAGCGATAGACAAATTCGATACAAATTCAATAAACTTAACATGATTTCTTGTTCAATTCTATACTTACCAATAATTATATTTTTATGGACAGGTTTTCAAATGATGTAAACTGTTCTCCACCAACTACAAAAGTACAAAATTTGGAAAATATGTCATTCTTGGGCTCCCCTTATTCCAATTCCTACAAAGATTATGATGATTATGAAGGTGAAGATGATGAGGAAACAGAAGAACCTCATGATGAAAGTGATGAAGATACAGAAGATGCTAGTGAAACGGATACAGGTATTGTTTTCATCAAATCACACAATGACATAATTATCAAACTGTTGTTTGCATTCATAGGTAGACAACATGAGCCACTGGAAATAAAAGAACAAATGTATCAAGATAAACTAGCTAATTTGAAGAAAAAACTCCAGCAACTCAAAGATGGTACTCATCATGAGTATAACAAAAAAGTGAGGAAACTTGAATACCAATACAAGGAACGTTTAAGGTTGAATGTATTGCATAGGGATTATATGATTGACTGTGTTGAAAGAGAATATATTCAAGAAAAAAAAGCAGCTGCTCGTGAATTTGAGGAGAAGAAAATTGACTTGAAGGAGAATTTGATATCTGATCTTGAAGATAAGAAAAAGACAGTAGAAGCAGAACGCTATTCTATGGAACTCACGGGAGATTCAATGGAAGTAAGTATGATTATTGTCATATCTCATCTAGGAGTTGACTACTAATAGACCAGTGCTGAAGCCTTTGAAAACGGTGAAATGTTTTTGGTTGCTTTTTCACCAAATTTCGTGAAAAATTTTTTTTTCTCCTAAGAAAAATAGAAAACCAAAAACTTGATTATTTAAATTTTTCACATAAATTTTGAGGTTATGTAAAAAAAGTGTGATCACAAAAGTTGTGGGTCTCTTTATTACCTACACCTTTGTCATTTAATATTACTCCATAGGACTTGTGGTTTTGCCGGAAATCGAGATACACCGTTTTTTACCCTCAAAACTCACCCCGATCCACGTCCCGACCTCAGATCGCCCGTAAATTGTTTTTCCTTTCATTTTTGTTATATTCTCATCCTTTCTCAACGGGTTCCATCCTACTATTATTTTTTTTTTATTTCAAAAATTATCGACCATGGTCTATAAGGAATACAGAATTATGTTTATACAGTAATGAAATTTCAAATGAACTGTCCCACATTTGAAGTGAAGCAAAAATTTTAGAACCGTCATAACTTTTGATGGGATTTACCAATTTTTAATTTCTTCCAAGATTGTAATAGCTCATTTCATTGAGTACAACGTTAGTACTTTTTCCGTCGACCTCGTATCAACGACTAAGTTTAATGTATATGAAATCGTTCATTAATGACCCCTATTAATGGACGATTTGTCTATTAATGCACGATTGTTTTATAGGCAACCAAACATACACCGCGTGCATTCATTATTTATATACTATGACTAGCGGAATCTGCATTTAAATCGAAAATATGGATTTCATCGACGATTTTCCGTTAACGGGTTCGCCTTTCCAAGTGTCTGACACGATTTTGATCCCTGTTTTCTAACAGAAGGAATTTATTTCCTATGTTGATCATTTCGACAAATGTCAAATGACACTAATGTCAGTAACAAGGCTACTGGGTGATTCTTAGCAGTTTCCGGATGGATGATGAATTCCCGAACCAAGTTTATTTCTTCATTGCAAGAGAAATGAGGAACATAGTCGACGGAAAAATTTTGTAACCAACTTGTATATTAAAAGGCGATTAATGATCTCGAACATTAACGCACTCGCTTCGCTCGCACGTTAAAATATCTCGATCATTAATCGTCCTCATTAATACACTAGTTGGTTAAATAACTATTTCGTTACTCCACCTTTCCGACATGATGACTGACCTACCGGGTGATATCTGAATATGTGATGATTTCCGAAAAGTTTGGGATCGCCCCGTTTAACAGGGATTTGTGTTTTATTTAGGGCGATAGAATAAGGAATAATAAGTTTCCTCGAAATGGTTTTTGATTCAAGATAATAATGATGAACATATTACATTCTAATATATGTTCAACCACCATAAACTCATCTTCAACAGAATTTTAGATTGGCATATCTTCAACGCTATCAGTGTACAATGTGTTGTACATACTCAAATAAAGAGAATGTAGAAATAAATTAAAATACTATGAAAAAATGCAAATAATGGTTATTAATACAATGTTTTTAATGAAATAATGATACGTAAAATCGACTTGGGGCAATATAATGATGAATCGTCGCTCAACGTTGGTTATTTTGAGAGTATGAATGCTCTTTGGTATCAAAACATGTATTTTGTTAGGGAAGTTGTGGTTCCAGTCAGTGGCGGATCTAGGCAGTTTTTCAGGGGGGGGCCATGGGCCGTGAGTTAATGGAATTTTGAAACCAAAGTAATTGAAACCACATGAATAATGAATGATATGTATATGAATATATATATATATATAGCCCATGGTTTCAACTTCATCACTTTCGTTTAGGGGGAAACTTTGCACAGGGAATGGTTTTGGTATGAAAATGTTCAGGGGCAGCAGAGTAGAAAAAACATCTGAAAAGACCAAAGTAATGTGTTTCAAATCTCCAGAAAAGAGATGCGGGTAGAGGATGGATATTACTTTTATTTGCCGTGGCGCTCCGTGGCCACTCACTGATTTTTGGTGGAGTATTCACTTTTCAGCTGCAGGAAAATCCGGAAAAACCTACAGCACCACCTCGGGTGGTCGGAGCTCACTCCAGGATAACATAAATGTGATGGATAAAAATGTGACTAAACAAACAAAAACTTGCTTTGAATACTTTGAATTGGTTGTTCAATTTTCCGCTTTTTTTGTACTGGCAAAAAGTATGAATTAATCTTCCTTCTATCCATCTGAAAAATTAAAGAGCTCAGCTAAGTTCTCCAGATCGAATAGGTAGGAGATTGAAATTTTTTTTTCACAATGACACCATCATGATCAGGAATGTAGACATTAAATGATTCTCGAAAATGTATTGAAGATTTATCTGCAGCTCTAAATAGTTTTGTTCATCCAAGTGAGTGAAATTTTATACACTGATTATCGGTTTTCAAAAATATATAAAAATCAATCTCGTTAATAATCTCACTGTTGCGTATGTACCAATGTACCTACTTACCATTTAATTTTTAGTATAATTTCAATTTCACTTATCACTTACTTCTTCTTTCTTTTTAAATGAAAAAATCTGTGAACTGAATCTTACTGTTCTGAAGAACTAATGTGAAATGACCCTTTTCACCCTTTTCTTTCAAAACCAATTGGTGTTTTTTGCGGTTTCGGATAAAAAACAACTACTTATTTCAGTTATTCCCCTTGTTTTTGATTCTTGCCGCTCACCGGTCACCGCTTACAGCTAATTTGCATTTTACTGAAGCCCCGGCCTTGAAAATAATTATTTTTCCTCTATCGTTATCTGTTTTGCCGCCCTTTGATCTGACCGCCTGTGTCGTTTTCCCATATTCCCACTGCATACAAGAATATTTCTATATAATATTTGTATATGATAATGAATGAAATTCAAAAAAGAGTTGATTTGGCATGTTCGAGTGTTTGAGGAACCATTCAATACGAAAACTACGAATACGAATAATTTTGGTGTGTATAACGTAGCTTTGGTTGCATATCCACACTGATTGTTGAACCAATATCAACTACTTATTCAGAGCTCTGGGGGGGGCCATGGCCCCCATGGCCCCCCCCTCAGATCCGCCAGTGGACTTCCAGTTGCCCTATACCTTTGCTGACAATTTCATACTGGTTGATGATAATGAACTACCACATTGTGCGAGAATTATCACTGGAGTTTTAAGACAACATAATATTGCCTACCTTTTCTCTCTATCCTACCTAGGTACGCATGATGCTCCTCCAACATAATATAGGAATTCCCGTTCGTGCGCTTCAAAAAAAAATCCTGACATGAATCCGATAAAACACGTATGGAGAAGGGAAAGTGAAATGATGAATCTTGGCCAATTAGAGGACTCGAAACCTACTAAAAAAGTAGATAGCTATTCCCCAAGATTTCATCAATAATAATATCGGCATGCCAAGAAGAATGAGGGCTCTCATAGCTGCTAGGGGAGGTTCAACACCATATTGACAAATGACAGTAACAACTGAAGTTGTTAGTAGTTAATTCGAGTTGTGTTTGTATAACAATGTGGATTTCTAATGTCCATTGAACATATTGTGATAATCATTGTCTGCATTGTTTTGTAGTATGTCCGTTTAATTTTACTTTCTCCTCCAGGTGTCAGCGTATTCATTAGACAAGCCATAATTTCCAAAGTTCCGAAGGTATAATATTCTTACTTGGCAGATGTATTGGATTCAAGAGTTGTAGAATTTTTCAAAATCTCATTCTCGCCCATGACTCCAACTTTTGATTTTCAAATGGAACACCCTATATTTTATTCCGTAATAAGTTAGGGACTAACTATCATGACGAAATCAACGATACCGGGTTCAATAAGGTTATTCAGAACAATCTCGAAGATATCTGCGGTCGAAGTTTTCATATGCTCAATGGGTGTGACGGCGCAATATCGAAACTTTTTTCTCTGTTAAACTCCCATACAGACCCTGTATCTCTCATTGCCCACTATGATACGCCCCGAATTTGATCCACCCTACTCAAAATATTTGTATTTTCTTGATCATATTTCTGACATTGTTGTGATTTTTGAAGTGAACAACTGAATGGGCATTTTTCTGATTTTATTTTCAATATCACAGGTAAAACCTGTAATGACTCGGAAGTTGCGTAGGCGACCAAATGATCCGATGCCTCTCCCAGAGAAACGAAGAAAAGCTCCTGCAGCACAGATTACGTATTTGCTGGAAGAAAAAGATGTAGAAAATGATCTTCGGATAATCAATAAAGGGAACGTCCCAACACCTGTTCGTAAACAGAGTGAAAATTCTTCTTCCTCCAGTCCTGCACATGTACAGGTGAGTTTTATGAAACAGAATTCTTTTAGTAGAAAGTGATCGTCTCCAAGACCTCTATATGGATACTATGGGCCGCTTTAAAGGAAAAAGGAGTAGTAATTCAGTCTTAATCACTACTACCAAACGTGGAACAGCCTGATGTAGTGTAGTGATTATTAGAGTCACTGGATAGTATTAGTAGATAAGAGTTCGGACACAGCTGAACTTCTGCCCTTTTCTTTTTTCTATACTACAAAGGTTTGAGTGAATAAAAGAATAAGACATATATTCTGCTCTTTGTCTTTTCAGTTTCCCTAGTAGCACCTGATTGTCTAATACGATTTTAGAGGTTAGATTTCCTGTCAAATCAATCATAGCCGGAGATGGAAAATGGAAATAGGGTATAAACACCCACTATAAATTATAGCAATATGGCACTTTTCGCAGAAAAGCAGTAATAAAAAGGAAAAGAATGCATGTAACAACATTTTAATGACAAAATAGACACTTATGGATACACTTATAGGTAGTTCGGTTGGTATTAAAAATTCCATTCAATGATTCAGATTCGTTATCAAATTTTCAATTTCATTACCTACTTTTGCAATCAATTCCTCTTTCTCCATGATGGTTTCGTTTCGCATTTCATGTGATGATAATAATGGATTCTCTTTTCAAATAGTCTGCTTTGTAAATGAATGGAAGAGCAGATTCTCTCAAACGGATCTTGAAAGCTCCTGTTTGAAAATATTTGCCTAAAATATAGTTTCATTCTAATCTGCTGTTATAAAAAGTGAGTTTCAATGTATGTACCTCACAAATTTTGCTTGTGTTCAAATCAATTTTCCATCTAGGCCGTTCCATACATTCCTTCCATAAGAGAAAGGGGATGATATTTCCTTTGGGGAATTAAATAACTGAAATCCATTCTCTTCAGAAATCCCAAAATTTATTACACAACAGGGCTTTTTCATTTGTGCTTAGCCTTAGATTATTTTGCAATAGTCAGTGTTTTTCTCAAGTTGATTGAGCTGCCAATTTATATATATATTAGCCATTTTTCCTCGAAGTTAACCACACAAACCGGGTCAACAATAAGTTAACCAGTCAATTTTCCTCGATGTATATTCCAAACTATGACGTAATAGTTGACCAACCACCCAAGTTCACGGAGTAGTTAAGGCTTTTGATTGGGCACTGGATTTGGCTCTTATTGTTGTTATAATCTGAGATTATATAATTGATGGAAAAAAAATAGTTATTTTTCTCAAAGAGATAATTAAGGATTCATAGGAAGTATTTTTTAATGAGAGATCTCATCATACTATTGATGAAGATGAATGTTTGATTCATTGTTAATATGTACGTAGCGAATTGTTCCAATTTTCTTGAAGTTGAAGTAGGTAAGTACCTAGTTTCATATTTTTGTTACAGGTGATGAATTTCTCATTCAATATATTAGTATTTCTACTAAAACCGAACAATAAACAAAAACTGCTGATAAACTGACATCTGTCGAGCATCAAAAGTTAACCGTGAGGTCATAAAAAAGTTACCGTGACGTCATCATAAATATAACCTGGTTTGTCTGGTTAGGTTCGAGGAAAAATGACTATTAATTTATTAGCCACCAAGTAACACTCATGAGCTTTGGTAGAGCCAAATAAACATATATCTACGTTAATATTTGATAGAAGTCCATATTGCTCAAAGTGGAGTGAAATATTTCAAAGGAAGGAAAGAATGCTCGACGTCATCTCCACAAATTATCTTATAAAAAGACAATCTTCAGCCTAATTGAAAGTTCTACAATACAAAAACAAAATAAAAGTTGAAGTGAAAGAATTACCTAATTTGTGCTTGACTTACTTGGAGTTGAAAAATTTTTTAATGCTGCTGTTTGTTGAATTGTTGTCGATGCCCATAGTCAAGAAATTAGTCATTCAGAATTTGATTTCTTGATATATGATGATGATATATCTACGTGGAATCTTTGTGAGTTATATTACTATAACTACTCACTTTTTGAGGTGGCACGTGAATCGTTGCATCGTTTGAAGCATCCCAAGTGTAGTACAGTGTACTCCCTCACCTCAAAGATCACGCTCACGCATACCACATATTAACCTGATGCATGAATTTTTGTAATTTTTGGAGTCTATCTATAACTATCAGCAACAGTTATAAGTTAATATGTGATAGAACCACTGTCTCACATGTATTTGAAATATTACAAATGTTTCTTTGTTGATTTTTCAATATCAATATTAACCTGAATTACTCACTAAATGAGTATTCTGATTATTTGTTGTTTTTTCAAGGGGATATCTATTCAACAAGTGACTGAAGTTCCTCTGATAGAAACCAAAATTGAAGATGGAAAGTTATTATATGAGAAACGCTGGTACCACCGGGGTCAATCAGTCTTTGTTGAAGGTATGACTTTTTTTATCTCATTCATCTCATGTATATCGTACGGATGTAGGTTTAAATATTAATGGATGACCCTGTAACATCTGGTAAATAATTAATGTAATTTTCATTAATTGAAACGAGATATTAAAAAAATACCACTGGGTATCAGCACGTGAGACTCTATGGTATCTTTCGCGATATTCTTCAATAATTACCAGCGAGAGTGATAAACATAGGTGGCGATGGAGAATTCCCAAATTATATAATACAATATTATAATATTTCTTCTTCTATATCGATGAAAGCACACAGAGCAATTTCTTTGTCTACATGTGCTTCTTCAATCTTCTTCACCACAATGTGTAAGGTGGTCTCTGTAGATTTGCCTGATTGATAGGCAAATTGAATTTTGTGAAGCGGACTATTCGACAGAATTTTGCTTCTGATGTGTTGATCAAGTAGTTTCTCCATTGTTTTCTGAAGAAACAAAGTGAGGCTAATAGGTCTATAGGATTTCATTCTATTTTTATTTTTTTTATTTTATTCATACACCATCCAACAGCCGGAGCCAATTACAGGATGGGAAAGATAAACAACTAATAATTACAAATTACAATTTAGATATAAACTAGATTAATACTAACTATACATAAGTTTCATACTATGGTGAATGGAGATGGGCATATGAGCTGAAAAAAAAACTATGAAAAGAGAAAAAAAAGCTCACATGCAGATATGCACACTACCAAATAATACTACAACAATGCTCTTTTCATTTCAAACTAGCAATATTAGAACAGAGGATATTGAATGAATGTTGAGAAGACATATAATCTGAACATATTCTATAAATAGGTGAAAACTGCAGTAGATTAGATTGAGGTGTGCGCAAGTAAAAGAAATATTTATTCGCTATAAGGGAAAATATGATATTTTGAGAATATTAGACTCTATCATATTGATGTAATGGATACACTCATGTAGATACTTATTCCATTTGTTTGAGGCGTCAATTCGACTAAATAGAACAACCTCATTATTATACAGAATATCCGGGAAAATGTGGGAAATCTCTCGGATTCACATAGAACCAGAACAGATGAGATAACAAGTTCCTATTGAATTGTTTCCTACATTCCCTTCTTACGGAAACATGGGGCTCTAAAAGGACGCGGACGTGGATTACCACAAACTACTAATTTAAAAATTCACAACTCTGACTGTCAGGAAACACCAAACTGCAGATGTGCTACTGTCATTGAATCTAGGGACTGTGTGAAGTATTTGGGTGTACATTTTGATCTACATATGAAATGGAGTAAACATTGTGAATATGTATCAAAAAAACTTCGGAAACTGATTTATAAATTTTACCAATTAAGAAACATGTTATCTACCTCTCTGAGGAAAAATGTCTACTCCGCATTGGCTGAATCTATAATAGACTATGGTATATTACTATGGGGTTCAGCGTACAAAATAACTCTTAGCCCAGTTGACATAGCACAAAAGTATATCTTGAAAGTTTTGTTCTTCAAAAACAGGACATTCCCAACTGATAGACTTTTCCGTGAGTCTAAACTACTAAATGTTAGACAAATGTATATTAAGAGCACACTGCGTTTTGCTTTAAAATTCAGAAACTTATTTAATAACTTTATAGCTCATTCAACGATTACACGTGCAATAACTAATGAAAATGTTATTCCCTCAAATGCCAAATTTTCAGCAACACAAAAACACATCTCATATACAGCACCCAAAATCATAAATATACTACCACAAAATTTTAAGAATAGACAATTCAAAAGTATAGCCAAGGATTTATCAGAATGGATCTGCCAGAGGTATACATTCCTTTGCCAGCATCTTCAACTACTAGTATAGTTGTATACTATTATTATCATACCCAGATGAAATTGTAGACTTGTGATGTTGTAGAACATTTCAAATCCGTCGGAATTCTTCAAAAATTGCTAGGAATAATAAAATAATAATATAAATTGTACATGGTACCTAAAACATGAAAATTTATTATTGGAATGTGCTCACACAAATCCTTCAAGGATTTATCGGGCACTGTTTTTGTCCGGTGTCATTGTCCTTAATGAACAATGTTTCTTATGGTTTATATTGTTAAGTAGGAGGATTTTCAGAATTAATATGCACTATTTTCAAATGTAAAATGTAAACATTGAATTCAAATGTAAAAAATGTAAATGTAAATGTAAACATTAAAAAAAAAATGTAAATGTAAAAGAGAGTAGACTAACTATATTCTCAACATTTGCTACTTTTCACCATAGTGTTAGTAACCTAAATTCAATTTACCCTGCATTTGTTGATCTATTCCTTTTTACATGTAGTAGTATCATTAACATTGTATCAAATTCATGTGACAATGCCTTTTGGAATATCCTCTGTGATATAGATTTTGTATGTATGCATTATAATCTCAAAAAAAATTATATAAATTATATAATAGTTCAATGAAATAATAAAAAATAAGTCATGTTAACAAAAAAATGTGAATCAATGAAATTCAACGCCGCTGAAAATCGGTTTTTCTCAAATAACTTTTGATGTAATTGATATAATTTAATTAATGAGACTTCAGTATGCGGAAAAATAGTGAGGACTCAATGAACTAGTGTCCTTGAAACATATATCAGTGGGGACTCAGTTTCATCTTCAATGCTGAAATTTGTATACTTACATTGTATGATGAAGACCTGAAAAAAATTGATTAGCTCAGAGACGCAGCGACAGTTGTCGAGGCCCTGGTGCAACGACGGTGGGGCCCTAGTTCACTGAGGAATTTCTCCATCCCGAGCTGAAATTAGTTTATTATAATATACAGCGTGTCTCACTTTAAACGCCTCCCCCTCTATATCTCAGTTATTAGTCATGCGATTCCAACCAAATTTGGTGTGGTGTGAATAATCATCAATATGATCAGCTTTACAGAGATGCACATTATTTTGGCCAGTGCCGTGCGTTTTTATTGAACTAAGAAGGGGTCGATTTTTCATAAAATCATATTAGGCATTTTTTTACAGAAAATCTAACCTCATATTATTGTTCCTCATGCTTTCGAACCCATTTATGCAAAAAAATCATCTAATTTCGAATTAACAGGATTGGCTTCATTTTTCTCATTTTCAGTCTCGAATAAACAGTGACTTCAAATCCACTACGAATTTTGGAACGTTCCGGTAGGTGGAAAATCATGATTTCGAAGGAAATATACTTTTTTATGTTGAACTCACCGTTCCCGAGTAAATAATTATTAAGTTCGCGAAAATGCTGTTCAGATGTGCCTGTTTTTCTGAAACCCTTTGTAGGCATTTTATGAAAATCCACATATTATTATGTGGGTTTGAAACCATGAAGAACAATATTATGAGGTCAGTTTTCCTGTGAAAAAATGCCTAATAAAAATGAACCACACTGTCTAAAATGATGTTTGTCTCTGAAGAAATGGTCATATTGATGATTATTCATATCGATACAAATTTGATAGCTGAGATGTACAGGGGGGGCGTCTGAAATGAGACACGCTGTATATTGAAAAAAATTTTTATATATGTATGCTGTTTCGCGGTGGCTTGTTGTGAGTTTCGTATTTGGGAACGCTGGCACCAAAATATAACAGAAATTGCGTCACAGGCAAATTTTTCAAATTTTCCAGGTCAAGTTGCCCATATTAGAAGTTATATATGAGAATGTGAATATATTTGTCTCTTGAGTATGAATCTAGTAGACTCCATTCTTTCAATTTCCAATGAACAAAGATACAATGTGAGTATCCAGTTACATGAAATATACAGTTTTTTTTTTCAATAGTTGATGCAACAAATCCTTCAGAATGAAATCACAAATGTAGAAATAGTATTCACGAACGTTGACGAGCCATCGAGACCACCCGGTACCTGCGCTTGTGTTCCGCAATCTGTGTGAAGCTATCTGTTCACCGCATCCACCTCCATTTCAAACGTGTAGTGAAGAAATGCCCTATTGATCCTCTGAAATGTATTATCATCAGAGTCCCCTAATGCATTCAAAATAAAAAATAATACAAAAATAACTCCAACAGATCAAATTGAAACAATCAAAAATCCAGGACACGTGTGTATGGCTCTGTTATCAAACAGCGCTAGACAAAATAGCGAGCGACAAAATAGCGCGGAACAAATAGCGCGTGACAAAATAGCGCCAATAGAAATCAGCGCCGCGACATAATAGCGCCGACTGAAATAGCGCGTCATAATAAGCGAGTGTGCTAATAGTGGCGTACTGATAATGAAAGTGCACTTCATAGAAAAGTAATATTAGTAGTGGATAATAAACTTGCTTAACTTCATTCAAATACAAATAACTCTATAAAAATCGACCAGTAACCTAACTTCAAGGATAAAATGCACGCAATACAACGTAAACAGTTTAGAACGCTATCAAATCTGTATTCGACAACCAGTACCTGTAATACCTAATTTTTCGTTTGCCCTATACCCTGCGCGGTACCTCGTGATGAATATTTGAAAGTGGCTCTGTTCCTTCCTGATTTTATCGAATAACTTGACATGCGAAGGATGGTGGCATTGAAGAGTTTTTTGAAATGAATTATGCCATGCTTCCACCGAATTGTTGCTCCTGGGTAAGTCAGTGTTGATTCTCTCGTATAGGTTCCACATCTCAATCGGAAATCTTGGGGGTATTTCATGCAGTCAACGGTCAACTTACTTGTTGGAAAGCTTGCAACGATAACTTCGAATGCAAACTGCACGTCTTGTTCTGGAACATAACTAGAATCTAAAAGCATTTTACATTGGATCCCTATTTCCTCATCATCTTTGTATAGCTTTGTTAATTGATTGGATTGGATATGCCTCCATTGATTTCGTGCTTACTGGGAATTGCAGCCTACTATTTTGGTTTCAGGATATTGATTATTTATTGTGTAGTTGGTTTCAACGTTGGATCTATCTTTAGTAGTTTTCCGAAAAGTCTGTCATAACTTGGTTGTTGTTTGTTAGGCAGCAAAGTATATATTGGAGGATTAGCTTTTCCGTCTATCAAGGAGTGAATAGTGAATACCTGAAAAAATATTTCTGTGCTACACTGAAAGTGCTATCCAAACACCAGTTTCGAAATTCACCCAAAAGGAAGAAATTTCCATAAGTAGCGAAAACTATAATTTTGTTCACATATTCTGTCCCTGAATTCCTTTCTCTGTTCGTTTATATTTCTCTTCAATCGTTACATCATGAATGCTGTTGCATGCATTGTTAACCAAGAGCTCCTTGTTTTTCACTCTTCAAATTGTTTTTCTTGCATGTTGCCATGTTCCTAACATTTTCAAGAATTGCAAAAACTTCGTTTTCAGCCTCATTTGGACTATAACTATGGGACGTTGACGGTTTTTTTCCGCAAGATGGCGACACTACAGATTTCTTTCATGACAGAATACAGAAAACGGCGCTTACACACCGCTTGCACCAGAAATAATAATATCATAACATTCATAACATAACCTCAAATCAAATGAGATTAAATTTGAAAGTACGAAACTGTAATTTTGGGGAATTTTAATCATCATCAGTTCTACCAACCTTGAATTTTGGTTCAGATTTCACCATCTAACGGGTAAAATGCGACCTATATTCCGTGATATTGAAAAAAATCTTCTGTCAAGTAGGCCGTAGGTCAAGAACATCGACCAAAAAACAGTATATGGGATTTGATAGGAATTTCTACACCATCTTCTATTCATTCTGATCTCCAGGTTGTGGAAGTGAGATGCACCTTATCTTTCCTGTATCTGTATCCTTCATGGATCAAAATAACACCACCTTTTCCTTGAACGAGAAAGATTCATCGTGACGTGACAATTCGTTCTGATGTTTTGGGCGCTATTTTGTCGCATTCCCAAAAGTAACCCGATTTTGACCCTCTGTGAAATGTCCTAGCGCTATTTTGTTCCACGCTATTTTATCTAGCGCTGTTTGATAACAGAGCCCTCGTATATTGACGCGAATTCATTTTTGTCAAATCACAGCTGAAGTCAACATTCAAAGACACCAAGCACTGAATTAGCAGGATATAATTGATTATACTCAAACATAAACTGATAAAAATGATCTAGATGCATGATGATTCTGATTGTTCGGCAAGGCGAGGAAAGCTGGTGCTTTTCTAGCTTCATGGAGGACACACCACTGATTTTTTGTCATAACTAGATAACTTCAAATACAATGAAGTGATATATCCAAATATGTACCTACATATATTACATATATGTACAGGGTGTTCCGAAATTGGCCTGCCAAACTTCGCCAGCGGCTTCTAGGATCAAAAATAGGAAAACAGTTTCAATGAACATGAGACGAAAAATGTCTCCTCAGGGAGCTACGGCCTCCTGAAAGTGGGCTCCTGAAGATGATATTTCTTGAGTATATCCGAAACTCCATGTGATAAAAAGATTCATTTTGGTGCAACAACTAAACTCTCCATGTCAAATGCAGTGAAAATAAAATCATTTCAAAATGCCACTCAGGAGTATATAATACAGTGTGGGACTACATTAAATATTGCTCAACATTTTTTCTATGTATATTTTTCGACAATTTAATCTCGAATTATGAAAATCCACACCTCTTTACAGAAAAAAAAGGTACTCTTGTTCCGTAACGATCAGATGTATCATCATCGAGTAAAAGCGATTTAAAAATATTGTTACATCTCAGTTATTATGCATAACATTGCAATGAGTCAGTCGTAGTGGAAATGAAAAAAAAGCACAAAATTTTAAGTAATGTTATCATCATCATTTTCCTATTTTCTGCGCTTTTATGACTATGAGTTGGTTTGGTGAAAAGAAAGTAGTTGATTTTTTTATAGCCACTATGATATGAAAATTGGCAACATTATGGATAAGATGTGAGTGTATCAATATTTTTGAATCGATTTCACTCGAAAATGATACATCCGATCGATGCGGAACAAGAGCACTTTTTCTTGTGAAACGGTGTGGCAATATTCAATGTAGGATGGATGGAACTTTGGAAATATTTTATGTTCACCGAATTGGGCATGAAAACTAGTTCTCGTGTCAAATTGCATCATTTTTTCACGTGGCTTTTCAGAATCATCTTCAGGAGCCCCCTTTCAGGGGTCCCTAGCTCCCTTAGGAGACATTTCTCGTCTCATGTTCATTGGAACTTTTCTTCCTATTTTTGGTCGTAGAAGCCGCTGGTGAAAGTTGGAAGGCTGATTTCGGGACACCCTGTATAAACAAAAAACTAAAACCGATTATATCACACTCGGTAGTTTTACGCCTCTGCCTACCCTGTATGGTTGTTTATTGGTGGTATCGCATTTGTGGATATTGTTGTGCTAAAGTTCATATTTTTCTCACAGGTCGTGATATGCCCAAATTTCCCGCCAATATATCTGCTATTGGAAATGATGCAATTTGGGTGAAGAAATCCGATGGAGCAAAAGTGAGGATATACACATCTTATCTTGCTCGAGGGAAAATTTCGATCAAGAGGAGGGCGTCATAAATATCGATTGTTAGACTGTAATTTAAGGTACTTTGTAAATATAAATAATGTTAGAACTCATTTTCGTGGAGTTTATCAATCTTTAAACCTTCTTTACATATTTACAATAGCAAGGATTCCGGTATTGCTTCTGCGCGACGGCACTACCCTGACAGCACATACAGTGAACTGAATAACCTCCAAAACCACTTAATTCAACCGAAATACAATCACGAATCAATAGATGGCGCTATTAAACGCAAAATCAACGTCAAATTTCAATGTACCCATTACAAATTGGTTATTTCGAAATCCTTTTGCAAAATAGTAAATAGTAAGTTGACTTCATGAAATCTTCATTATTCACGTACAAGGTTTCCAGTGTGGGTAAATTACTTTTTGTGCAGAGAAATTGTCATTTTGATGTTGACAATGGTGGTATTCATCATTGATCTTACATTACAATTCCACTGTTTTAAACATATGGAATGGTCGGAATGGTCCACTCAACACTTGCATGGATTGGAATGGAACCATAAGGAATTAGCTATTACAACAATATGGTATAGGTATGAAGAAATAATTGAAATCATCAAGAAATATCACTGGCTGTTATGAAGGAGATGGAATTCTAGTGAAAGGGTTGGAAAAGAATATATGGTTGGAGAGACTGCTAAGAATGAACAATATCATCGATTTACATAAACAAGGATCCCCAGCAATTGAGGACTTGAAGTAATTTTCAAGATCGAATCATTGCAACCAACATTTATATAATGATTCTGATTGTGCTTTAGAAAATGTATATTATTCAAGGTAGGTACTAGGTTTTTCATTGTAAACGATGAAAGTTCATGCAATAATAATTCGACATTGAGGTTCTTTTTGTTCCATCTGATGATTTCGGAATATTTACTGATGGTTCTGAAGTTTTTTCACGAGTTTTGATGGCTGAACAAAACTTCCTAGATTTCGTTCAAACTATTTTGTGATCTTGCTGCATGTTTCTAAAAAATAAAAGCAATTACCAGCACTCAGACACAAACTTAACCTCCGAAAAATATAATCAAAATTCACTCAACAGTGGTCGCCATATTTGTTGTCATTGTTGTTCATACTCGCTGGACTTGTAAAGTTAGAGGCCACAAACTTCTCGCGAATAAATCCTAGGAACTGTAAAGACGTTACTAAAATTTGGATTTTGTATTTAGGAAAATAGCGAACGTGTTTTTGGTATTATTCAAGAGTCTGGACTTTCTTGAAATAATTTTATTCAAGTATCAACACTTGAATAATGAGTGCAGCGCGGTATCCGAAATGCAGCGAGGGCGCTGCGCCGAGTCAGTCATCCAATGGCCGAACGGGTACCCCACTATTATTGGTGTGCGTGGAGATCTGGCTATACAGACTAGAGTCTAGGGCTAACACTTTCTGAGGAGGCGAACGAACCCAAACGTAAGAATGTCCTTGACTAACAGAATTCCTCTAAAAGCTCGCCAATTTATTGTTTGTTTTGAACATAATTATGTGGGGATTAGAACTTTGAATCATTGATGAATATAGAGAGATCCTTATTAACAACAATTAAAGCATACAGAGTTGGATATAAAATTGAAATATTTTATCTGGGCATAGTAACTTGGTGATGAAAATGCTTTTTGTTCTGCAGAAATTTAGATTCCTGCTGATGCAGGCGATGTTGGTTCAAAAAGTTGTTACTATACCTAGTTGTTCTTAACAATGTGTGGTGTAGGTAGTTTATAATATGCAGTGCTGTTTTTGTAGGACTGGAGATCGATAGGTTTTCGATGATATATATATATAATATGGTAGGTATAGCAGGTATTCTCTTTACTGATATGGCGGCATCCGCATTATGAAATTAGTAAACTGGGTGGCTCAACGAAATTATGACACATAAAGTTCATTAAGTGTATAATAGCTTTACGTATACATACAGAGTTTACAAACCACCAAGTCGGTATACTATTTGCTAATTTGGTTATCATTGATGAAGCTACAACAAATGTCAGCTAGTTGAGCTAGTTAAAAGGGCAAACTATATCTAGTAAAGTATACCTAGGTCGTATTTCTTGCGCTGATCACCATGATCATGGGAAAAGTTGATATTCAAATTCCCACCATAAACTCCTTTGTAATTTCGTGTGTAGATCATCTAGAAAATTTCGTACAAAGATTTTGGGAACAAATTCCGTTTAGAGTTGTTACATCCCCGAAGGATGTATTAGCCGAAAAGATTTATCAGGATACTCTCTCTAAAAATCATGATGGTCGGTACATACTGTCTCTCCCTTTCCATACTCCCGAAGTTATTTTCGAGGATTCTCGAGATATTGCCTTCAAACACCGAACATAAACAGAGACTAGAAGGACCACTCTAAGCTCCGCCCTAAAATTTCCCTTCCTGCCCCGTCACCGATCCCAGCACTTCTCGACACTCTCGCGTATACCGATAGTCTTCACGTTAGCACCGAGCGCCTTCACGTTAGCACCGAGCGCAACGCTGTGTATAATATACCGGTTGGAATCCGATGAGACAGCTCACTTCTTCGTTCAGAATTAGTTTATTGTCATTATTTAAACTAATAAGAATGGGTTTTTGTCGTGTTGAGGGCTGTAACAATAAACCAGGGCATGGAATTTCATTTTTCCGATGTCCAAAAGATTCCATTCTGTAGCCGTTGCACTTCATACATATATAGATTTCAACGTTTTTCCTTCAGATGCAAAGGTGACAGCAAATTTCATCAAAACCATGAATGACCTGTTCGATATACTGAATTCATGTCATCTGAATAATTTCAATGCATTCATGGATACCCAAAAACAAATGGCATTCTTAGAAGAATTTGAAACTTTATTGAAAAGTCTCAATGTGGTTAATAGTGAGGGAAAATTTGTAACTAATCAAATTAAGTTCATATTTGGGTGGACAATCACAATGACAGCTTTGTGGAATACATTGAAATCTAGAGGTTATACATTTTTACTCACAAGGAATCTCAATCAAGATTGCCTTGAAAATTTGTTTGGTCAGGTAAGGAACTGTTGTGGTAATTCACGAAACCCAACACCAATTTAGTTTTCCAGAGCTTTCAAAAAATTACATACTCAGAAATATTTTGACCAAGTCGAAGGTGCTAACTGCATGAACGATATCAATGAAGTTTTATTGAATATCAGTCCCGAATTTATTGAAAGCAGTAAATCGTTGATTGCTACGGAATCAACAGTATGTAATAATTCTTTGAAGGTTTTCACTAATGATTATAGGAATCTAACCAGTACAGATGGTAATGCATTAGTTAATGTTACTGGATATCTTTTGAAAAAATGTTTGTTGCAACACTCTTGTGACATATGTTTGAAATTCAATGAGCAAGATGATTTAAATAATCAAGCAACGCTTTTCTGCAACGCTAAAGCTTTCGTGAATACGGAAAAATTGCCATTTGGCGGTTTGACAGTGCCTTCTCAAAGTTTAGTTGAACATATAATAAAGATAGAAAATATCTTTATAGCAAAATTCAATGAATTTGCTTTTCATGACTCTGTTGGTGCTAGGCTGAGAGATTTATTTAAAAATATTTCATTTGCACATCCATGTGAAAATTTTCCATTGGAATATCTGTTATCCCTGTAAACGAGAGTTCGTATCTATTATACCATAAAATTCGCTAACTGTGATATTAGGAATAAAAAAGTTAATAAGCCCAATATAAAATTGAATATATTGCAGAATTTGTAACAACATTCATTGGAAGTTTTTTTTTGGTTCAAAATCTAAATAATATTAGGAATATATTTTGTAAATGAATGTTTCATTTTGTCTCTGTTATTACGATAGTGTCAAACTCGTTTTTTGGTGAAAAAATCTGTCATGTTACTCTTTCTCGAAAAACACCCCTGAATATTTTGTTAGCAGGTAGGTACTGTCATTGCTTCCAGGAAACGGCCTAAATTATTGAATATCTTAATAATACGAAACACGTGGAAGTAAATAATAATAAGCATTTTGGCTTTTCCTTGATTGAATATTAATAGTATGCTCCACTATATTCTGCATTGACTTATCTACCTCATTGTGAGAATCAGTATTGAAATAAAATGAAACATCATGAATGTCAATGATACAGCCAAAATAAACAACACCGTTTCCTTTGAGTCCCTCTTCTGGGATATATCGAGACAGGCACCTTCATATTAATAGCGGCAATTAAATCGTTATTGAGATTACATATTGTTTTTGTTCTTCTTTATAAGTTGTGAATGATGGAAATATAACAATTATATCATGAATATTCATTTCTTGATACAAAATGACTCGTAAACAGACCTCCTATGCTAATATTCATGATATTGAAAAAATTATGTACCATTCAGATTACATTTTCATTGAACCCCGTAGCGAAACCTCTCACTGCAATATGAGCATGGTATTCCAAGTGACCCTCGTAAAGACTCGAAACCAGCTGCAGGCGGCCGCCGCTTCTGTGAGCGCTACATGAAAGTGCCGCCTGAGAGTGAACCTTCTAGTCTCTGTTTATGTTCGGTGCTTCAACGATTATTGAAAAATCCGCCCTTATATAAGCAATATTGTATTTTTTGCAAGATTATCTCGATTCTGATCATATGGAATTGATACAGGATCCTACCCCCAATCCCTTTTCATATAATATCGCGTGGTTTCTAACGCTTCTCAGAAATGTAATTTGTCTCTTAATGACGCACTTTTATTTGGAGGAAAGCTTCAACAAGATAATATTCACATTTCTTTTGAAATCTCGATTATAGTTTATGCAAAGTCAGTTGAAAAGATCATCAAACGAATGTCGGGCCGCGCTGCCGCACTCTTTGAACTTTCAAAGGGACCGACGGCTTGCGGTGATGTGTTTTTCCAATTGACTTTGCATAAAGTATACACTCAATTTGTTTCA